AATTTAACAAACTATTAAACCACCAAATCAATTAAATCTTTAACAATTTAACAAACTACTTTTTTATCACGGTATATTTTCATTAATTTAATTATCATCGTACAACGAGTGAGATGACAAACAGGCAATGCGCGGCTACGAAACTACCAAACTACCAAAAATTACTATAAATGTATCAAGTTCTTAACAATATAACAAAGCTACCAAATTCTTTAAGAATTTAAAAAGTACTTGTGTTGGTTGCGGTGCTTGTGACTATGACTATCATTAGGATGGAGCACTTATACCCACTGCAGAAGGAGGTTTAGGCCCAATGCCACTCACATCCCCGCTTTGAGAACCTAACACCTTCTCAAATATTGTGATCCAATCGATGAAGTTTGGATCGCCACCGGCGTCGACTATGTGTTGAATCTGTAAAGCCACCTCAGCAACTAAAGCATTCTGACAATAAAAACCTAAATCAAGGAAAAATCATATACAAAAAACATATGAACAATTTTTGATCAATAAACTACCAAATACACATATATACTTTTATCACCAAGAAACTAAATCAAACAAAAATCATACATAAAAAACTGCAAAATCATACAAAACAAAACTGTAAAATCATAGATGAAAACTTATGCATTCAATACACACACAAACACACACACAGATATATATATATATATATATAATATATATATATATATATATATATATATATATATATATATATATATATATATATATATTGACATTATACCCTACCAAATACAAACACAGGCATATACAATTAACTGTGGCTGGAAAAATACACCTGTCTCCGGAGAAATGAAAAATCTGATGTATTGTAACGGTGGTGGTTGCCGGAAAAACAGGGCACTGTGGCGGTGGTGGTATGTCGCCGGAAACATCAAAATTGATGAAATTAGATTCAAAATTAGAGACAGAATAGAAAAAGAAAGAGAAAGGAAAGATTTCGAGTACCTTAACATCACCAAAGATGGCCGAAAAAGCTCGGTTTTTGTTGTCTGGCATCGAGTGACGTTTTTTTTCCGGCGAGGTGAGTGGGAGTGGAGGGAAGTGGCACAGCCGGTGAACTGCTCTAGTCGCCAACAGGTGAAAAACACCGCTATTTGCAGGTGAAGTTGTGTAGTCATCAAAGATGGTGTAGAGAAATTAAGTGGCTGCAGTAATGGTGATCTGGGACGAAGACGGGAACAAAAGGGACGACACCTTTTGCGGCGACCCTTTTTGGGGCGACTTTAGGGCAACATCGGCGATGTGTTGGAGGGAAAAACACGAGCCTTTTCTACGTGGCTGTATTTCGTCGGATCTAGGAAAACGTAGGGTCACGATCTCTTCTAGGTGATCACACGGATCGACCCTATTAGCGACGACATGTCGTCGCAATTGCGTCGTCTCTATTGCTTAACAGCGATGTGTAACCCAAACCGACAGATCCTTTAAGAACGAACTTGACGATGCAATTTTATGTGGGACTCTAGGATCGCCAATGGCTGACTTTTAGCGACGCCACTATTAGCGACGACAAAAAGCGCATTTGTCTAGTGTCGTCGCTAAAAATCTTATTTTTTGTTGTGCTAGGCGAACGTGCACGCGTTACACATGTTAAAATAAAATTATAAAAATATTGAAAAATATATTTTTGTTTAAATGGTTATGTCATTGACCTTAATATGCACATAAATAAACTTAAATATAATTTTCGATTTAATGTTATTTTTAACAATTCTAAGATTGATTAGTTTAAAATTGTATTTATTTATGACCGTCTTTTAATTTCAATTATATATATATAGTTAGGTTAATGTGAGACGGTCTAATTTTGTGAAACCGTGAGACGCAATCCTAGCAATTTATTTTGTAGATAAAAAAACATGTTTTAAATAAAAAATATTTGAAAATTTTCAAAAAAAATTTCAAATATTATTTTCGTCATTTATATTTTCCAAAAAAAATATAAAAAAATACCAAAAAAATTACTGTTTTTTTACATATTGTAGTAGAATATTAGAATATTTTTACATATCTGACAAATCTAAAAGAATATTCTAACATTCTAAAAATCACATTAGAATATTTACAGTGTAATATTCTATTACTAAATTTCACGTATTTTTCAAAAAAAAAAAACAGTAATTTTTATTTATTTATTTTTATTTTTTTAGGTAAAAAAAGTGACGAAAATAATAATTCAATTTTTTTTTGGATTTTTCCTTTTATTTTGCATTTTAAAATTATTTTTAGAATGCGTCTCACGGTCTAAAAAAATTAGTACGGTCTCAAATGAACCTAAACACACACACACATATATATAGATATATATATATATAGATATATATAATATATATATTAGATATATATATATATATTATATATATATATATATATATATATGGTTAGGTTAATGTGAGACGGCCTAATTTTGTGAAACCGTGAGACGCAATCCTAGCAATTTATTTTGTAGATAAAAAAACATTTTTTAAATAAAAAATAATTGAAATTTTTCAAAAAAAATTTCAAATATTATTTTCGTCATTTATATTTTCCAAAAAATATATAAAAAAAATATAATAAAATACCAAAAAAAAATACTGTTTTTTTACATATTCTAGTAGAATATTAGAATATTTTACATATTTGACAAATCTAATAGAATATTCTAACATTCTAAAAATCACATTAGAATATTTACAGTGTAATATTTTATTAGAATATTTCACGTATTTTTTTAAAAAAAAAACAGTAATTTTTATTTATGTTATTTATTTATTTTTATTTTTTTAGGTAAAAAAAGTGACGAAAATAATAATTCAATTTTTTTTTTCTGATTTTTCCTTTTATTTTGCATTTTAAAATTATTTTTAGATTGCGTCTCACGGTCTAAAAAATTAGTACGATCTCAGATGAACCATATATATATATATATATATATATATAATATATATATATATATATATATATATATATATATATATATATATATATATATATATGGTAGGTTCATGCGAAAATGCAAATAATTTGCGAACACGTAAAATCAAGGAAAACCTATGAGATTATGGCACATCAACATTATATTTTAGACAAGAATTCATCCAAACTTTGAACTATAAGATGATAATCGATAATAAATGAGAAATTGTTTCATATTAGCAAATAAATGTTTTTTTTTTTTTTTTGCATTTTTATGAAGAAAACTTAAATTTAAAAGTAGTTAAAAACGTGAAAAAAAGGGAAACGGTTGTTAAAACCACCTTTAAATCTATATTACTATCACAAACTTCATTGCAAACTTATTATCCTTAGTTTATTGCTAATAAATTTAATTTCTAAAGTACATGTGTTTAATTTGTATAAGATAAAATCTGTTTTCGTATTTTCATAAAATATTTATGTTTTCGCATTAACCTACTTGTGTGATATATATATATATATCTATATTCTATATATATTATATATATATATATATATATATATATAAACGAATAACAAATATATCAAACATATAATGATTTTTATATACCACAAATAAGATATAGTATGGAAAAAAATATTACAACTTTTAATAACATAAAAATATTAAAACATTTGTCATAATATTTGTGTTAAAAAAATATATTAACGCCTATAAATCATATAAAAAAGAATATAGAAATGTTTAGTTGATTGAGAAAAAAAAAATCAATCTCTCACTTTTTTTTCTAACACCGGAGGTTATTGGTTTTTATGCATTACCTCTTAACTTAAACACTATTATCACAAGAAAAAACTGATTGCAATAATCGTTGATGCAAAGAACTTAAGTCTTCATATCTTCTTATTTAAATGACAAACCTTTCAAATACATTAATGTCATTTGCTAGAATATGTTCCTTACATACTACTAAAATAGGTGCAATATGAGAAAAGTGAAATCGTTATTATTAAATGTCATTAATGTTAAGAATATGAAAAATCATTTAATTAAGTCTATTAAACTATCAAATAATCATAACTTATATTATATTAATTTGATTACTTAGTAATTATACACATAAATTAAAAAGAAAAAAACATGACTTGTAATTAAATGGTTGAAAAACGAAAGGTTATTGTGGTTTTAAATAAATATTGTGTAAGAATATAGTCTATCTTAAATCATATTTATTACATGACATCTTCTATAAGATTTATAAAAATAAAAATAAAGATTTTATCGTTAATTGACCTCTTAGTTACTATCTTGGCTTAGTAAAATTCGGTTGATTGATAAACAAAATTTCTAGAAATATATTTGCGTCAAAATTATTCATTTTTTTGTTGTATTGTTATAACTATATGAATTACTTGATTTTGCTTTTGATCATGTTTCTAATTAACATGTCTTTGAACATATTTTATATTATCATAAATTATTAATAGTTTTCTGAATTTATATGAAATTAAATATCTATAATTCATTATACCAAAATCAGAAAAGATAAATGTATTAATATATTTCATGCACGTACAGTCCCTATATGATCTATAAAACGTTATATTGCATAAACCCTAGACGGTCATTTCTTATAATACGAAATATAGCTTTTTGGTTTTGACCAGGTAAAAAGAACTGATGCCATTGATTAGAATTTCCCATCAATAAATTTTTTTTTGTTTTTGTTTGCTTCCTTTATGATAATTTAATTTTCTTATTTTAAAAAAAGGAAACAAGGGGTTCTGTTCACTATTGTATGTCTTATATGAAGGTACAGGTTCACCCCATATTTTTCGAGAAAGAAACTGTTCCTTTTTAGGAAGTGCCAGGAGTTTACTTAATTATGCCCTAAAAGATGAACATTTGTTGCCCTAAAAGATAAAGAGTTGTAGTCTTTAAGAAGATGCATAATGTAGATTAATCCATTTGAAGGAAAAGGGTGCTTTGATCTATTTGCTTTTACTTCAATTGGATGAAAATTTAGCTGAAGATTTTCTCTCCTTTTTGGGTTCTAAATTTATTTCTAAATATGTTTAATTTCTCCAACTCGTTTCCTTCTCCAATCAATGGCTTCCCTCATTCTTATGGTGTTTTCTTTGGTCAAGAAAAAGATGGTGTTCATTTCAACCACCACCCATTTATCGCCGGAGATTGCTCTTTTGATCATGTTCAAACTCCTTTACCCATTAAAGCATCAAGTATACAAAATTCTGATAATCGTAATCATCTGAATCTTTCAGAATCAGTGAACTCTCCCTCTAGAAAGAGAGTTGCAGTTTCAAAGAAAGATCGACACAGTAAGATCTTCACAGCTCAAGGTCCCAGAGATCGGAGGGTGAGATTATCAATTGAGATTTCAAGAAAGTTTTTTGGTCTTCAAGATTTGCTAGGGTTTGATAAAGCAAGCAAAACCCTTGATTGGCTCTTTACGAAATCGAAGTCTGCCATTAAAGACTTGCTTGAAGAAAAGAAGCACACGTTATCTCCTTCAACTCTTACTGATCAATGTGAAGAAGTTTTCATGGAGAAAGGAGATCATGTGGAAAAGAAGGGAAAAAAGAAGAAACCAGTAGCTAAGTACGTTAATGGCGGCAAAAGGAAGAAGAAAACAACACCAAAAAATATGAAAACTGGATTTCCTATGAATCTTGCAGCTAGAAACCAGTTAAGAGCAGAGGCAAGAGCAAGAGCTAGGGAAAGAACAATCGAAAAATCCCGAAACAAAAACCTGGAAAACAACGACTCCAAGAATGTTCTTGATGATCGTAATTACTGCTATCTTCAATCACAAAGTAACCACGAACCCAAAATTGGGGAATCATTCATCGAACAAAAGCTTCCAAAGCCATACTCACTTCTGTATACTTCCCACCACAACTTCGTTGGATCAAAAGATTCAAGCTCCCAGTTTAAGAACAATCTCCATTGATCTAGATCTTGAAGAGGTACATTATTTAAACACACATACATGTGATTTGCTAATCTTTTTCTTTGTTATCTGGAAATAATTAACTCTTCAACGGCAGCAGCCGGATCTATTACTGATCACTGCAAAAGATCTGGTCGATGATGGAGCAATATATACCTTAAGGATGTAAGTCCATAAATGTTGTTGATTAAACAGTTAATCCATTTTACTATATTTTTTATGCCTTTTGAGTGTTTGTAACTTTGATCTATCTACCAATATATACCAATATATGAGACTCGTGATATGTACGTTTAAATAATTCATTCATTTTTTTTTCTTTTTTTAACATCTCTTTTGGGTCTATTCAAAAATAAGATTAATATAACCAAGATCTGACTAACTATTGATCTAATCATAACCATTATAACCGATTTAGATGTTTTTTTTTGTTGATGTTAATTAGTACTCACTTGTTTGCTTTAATCTCACATTCCAAATTTCTTGCTAGAACATTATGAATTTTATTATGATGCACGTTTTGTAGTTCGATTGTACTGAAAACAAATGACCTGACTTATTTCATATCTTTATATCATTTATGAGTAATCTACCATGCAACCAGAAGATGAGTACGACCCAAAGTTGCTCAAGTAACTATCATCATCACAAATTTAGAGTCCACATTTATTACTGAAATTCAGAAACAAAAACATTTAGATTCAGAATTGATATTGATGTCTCTAGGTTTTTAGTCAAATTTATGGAACTGTAAGTCAAGCTTAATAACTAAATATGAAATATTTTGAAGACTTACTTGTATATCGATTGAACTTCTTTAAACTGATTTATAATTATATATATCCCGATAACTTTTTGTTAAATTTCGTATGAACTTCATTAAATTGAGTCATGTTTTCTCAGTTCTTTTCTTGTTCTAAAATCGGATATGTCCAGTTCTTCTTTAAGAAGATGGTGGGGTATAACACTTAATAAGTTGAAACTTTTGTGGTACACCCACTCACATTAGGTTATAGATAGGGCAATGATTAAAACCCAACCAAATAAATATATATAACCCTACAACAAGAACACATAAAGGCTATATGCATTTTTTTTTTAGGTAAATTGCATTCCTCTTAGTATATAACCCTACAACAAGAACACATAAAGGCTATATGCTTTTTTTTTAGGTAAATTGCATTCCTCATAGATATAGTGACTTTTTTTTTTGTATAATCGAAGTCGCTGATAATGTAACTTTTGTCATTTTCTTTATTAAAATAATTATTATATGATTTTCATAACGAATTATTAGCTAAAATATGGTCGTTTTGGTCATTTAAAACAAATAATTATGCCAAAATAATCTTAAAAGATATGAGTAGCTAGCTTAGGGCAATGATGAACAGTACATGAATAATATATTTGCCAGCATGCCTTCTTCATAATTACACTCTTTGAAATTCGAAGTACAGAACTACTTCATCGTTAATTTGGGTATATTGGTACTGACAGTTGATTCAATCTTTTTCTTGTTTTCGTCTCCTTTTAGCTGTTAAATTAAGACGAGTAATGATGTATACATCATTCACCATGAAACTCTTAGATTGTAATCCTGTTCTTTTCTGTCTCCATATAAAATTTCAACAGCGACATTTTGTAAATTGTTTTATAAATGTAAAAGTATATAATATAACAGTGATCAATTAAGAACTGTCAATACGAAATATTCATCATCTGAAACTGAATTTCGGGAATTTAGTTATGTATCCATTCATGTAGATTAGTTCAATATTTTCTGTTAGAATCTGATGGGTATACCTCGAACAGCTATAGTAAGTTACTACTATCAATGCTCAATAAAATGACAGAATAAGTAAAGAAAAAATAAATTATTTAGAATCAGGAAAGAACAAAAAAACATGATTTTATCACTTGCCTGATCATGGTAGAAAGAAACGCCTGTTTAGTGTCACCACCATTGTCACAGCTACATACCATTCATTAAAAAACGGTCGGATTTTCATTGAATGACCCATAATTTCTATAAGACAATGAGTAGGCTTTTAAGAACTTATGATGATGAATACAGTAATAGCGCCATTCCTAACACCACGAATGATCAGAAAATACCATGAAAGAGAAAAAGAGAGAGTGTTGTGAAGGGTGATGGAATGAGGAGCATCAGAAGGTATCATATTTGAAAAGGAAGAATATGTACATATATATGGTAGCTGTCAATCCGTCATTGTATAGAATTTATTAAAAGGGGTGTTCAAAATGCATGTTAAGTAAACCATAAAAGATGTTAGAACCCGAACCCGAACCCGAACCCGAACCCGAACCCTTCTTCTAAATTTTTGTTACAACAGATTTTGTGGTACTATATATGAGGAAACTTATTTTTTTTTCTAGTAGTATGATGGAGTACACATATTAAAATACTAGACAACTACATATAATATGGTCTAGACATTGAATTGTGGAGTCTAATTGCTTCTGTCTTTGGACCAAAATTGAAAACTTTAGCTCCATATAATCATTAGAAATCTATATAATTGGGTTGTAGACCAAGTAAGATTACCCTAATATGTGAACCATGTATGTAACACTTCCTATTACCTATAGTTTGTACTTTTTATCTAGGGAAATTTCCGATAAAGTCTAAATATTTTGGATTAGTTTACGGTTTAATCCCAACATTTATTTTTTTAACAGAAATGTCTTGATTATATAATTTATATAATAATATGTCATTTTTGTTAAAAAAAAATAAGGATTGTTTTTAATTTGGACAAAATATTAAATAATCGAGATTTTTTTGTTTAAAAAATAAAAGTTGAGATTAAATCAGTAATAGCCAAAATATTATAAGAGTTTATCGGAGATTTCCCTTCTATGTAATTAATATACACTATTTGATACTATTAGAGAATCGAGTTCCATTGATGTAGGACATTCTAATATTGTTCGTTAAGTATACCATGCAAAATCTGTTCTTTAAAATAGTTATCAATGGATTTACAAATAAAACAAATTTTAAAAGTGATATATGGTAGTAATCTATCAAATGATTCAACAAAATGGTTGTCAAATTTGTTATGGTTAAGTTGGTGCTAAATGAAAATGTCTTTCATATGCTTCACTTTAATGTATAGGATCATGTTCACATTAAGCATTAGCATCTCTATTTATAAATTTGTTGTTTAAAGAAAAGGAACAACGAGTTTCATTAAGTTTTTCTTTAAACGGCAGCAATTGTTACTTCGTTAAGCACCACACAATATCAGCTCTGTAACACATTTAGCAACAGATTTATCAACAAAAGAAATAAAAACAAATCTGGTAATTTAGCAATGGATAAATTGATGATAAATGTATATCATCCTCCATAAGCCGGCTAAATTCTTTGTATAATTTAAACATAGCCTTTTCTCCAAACCTCTATATTTGAATCTTTAAAATAAAAAAAAAAATAAAAAAAAAAGATAAAAACTATGAATCCAAACAAGGATTAGAAGTTTTTATCTTTCATCCTTAATATGTAATTCAAAATTATCTCTTGGCTATAGTAAGAAAACCATCCAAATTGAATTATAACATGTGTGTATGAGAGTTTATATATACATGTAGAGTTATACATATATGGGTTATATAAACGTATATGAATGTATGTATGAAATCATTTATTTTCATATATATAGGACGGTTAGATAGAGTGGTTGCGTGATGAAGTTGCAGAGGAAGTATGGTGGGTGCTTATAAGTCTACTAATACTTCGACTGATGTCATCATTCTTGCTAGCTATATGTGTAAGGACATGATTGGTATACTGGGTATTATGTCCACCCGCAACCCCTACATACTACATATTCTTTGCCTTAAATTTGGTACTACTCGTTGCTTTTAATTTCCAAAAAAGAATGACAGAAAAAAGTCCAATCGTTTGACTTTAAGATACACGTAAGTACTCTTGTAACCCTAATCACGAAAATGACATATGAATTCCAAACATAACCCTGTACTTCTAATTATTTACTTGTTCGTCTGAATGGAAAATGCTAGCTAGCTAGTGTTTCTTTTGAATCGAAGATGCTTAATGTACTAATGATGAACCAAGTATATATATTACAATCTTCGCCTATTACAAATCTAAATGCTTGATCAATGGAGAAATATAATCAAGAATGAAATAATAAAAGGGTAAAAGCTAGAGTATATTTACGTAATTCCTTATATATAATCGTTTTGCCCCATATAATTATATTATATGCTTTGTAACACTCATGTTATAAATCGGTTTAATTGATTAATTTTCCAAAAAAGTGTTTCAAAAAAAGAAATACGAATTCCACTTGTTGGACAAAATAGTGCATTTATATACCGTATCAGAATTGTAACATTTCATTTTCATTTTAAAATTTAGATGTCAAAGTTATCTGAACATTTTATATCATTTATTTACAGAAAAACTCATGATATCATTCTATAGGTATACCGTATACGTACAAGATTCTATCATTGTGGAATTAAGATTTAGTTCAGAGATATATATCTGACGAATGTTTAACGTATGGCATATCAAAGAAATCTAGCACTGAAGTTACGAACAACTCCAAATTACACGTCATTTTGCAAAAGATGAAAACTTATATTCACCCAATCGAATAAGATGCACATTAATACGATCATGTAATAATAAGACATAATTATATATAAAAGGCATAAGTAACTATTATAAAATCAGGGGAGGGTTCCATTAACAACTTTTTTCATGTCAAGTAATGTGTTTTGAAAGGATTAAAAATGGTATTATAATAAAAGGTTCAGAGGTTCTTATCCGAAATATTATGTTAACTTTCAAATTTCTCATTAGTAAGTTCATTTTTTTTCTATTAGTATAACTTTTAATTTACATGTTCCAACCTGCTAATGATCCATTAGGTGTTCATCAACTCAACAACTCATCCACATCGTACTAAACCCATTGGCGGACCTAAGTGATTTCCATCGGGTCC